AGCGCCGCCGCGCTTCCCAAGCGGCGCACTATAGCAGTGCGCCACCGGGCCGGCCCCCTCCCGTCGCTCTTTTGATCAAAATTAGTTCCTGACTCATTGTCTAAACAGTATAATATCTAATTCATCTTTAAAATGTAAAGAGCCTCAAAAACAAGAAGGTTGGGGGAGGGGTAGTCTAGGTTGTCATCTTGCTAAGCCAGGGTCTCTCCTTCCTGCCACTACTGGCACTTTGGGCTGGATAATTCTTTGTTGTGGCTGCTGTCCTACATAGTGTTGGATGTTTAGAAGCATCTCTGGTCTCGACCCACTAGATGCCAGCAGTACCCTCCCTTCCCTTGGTGACAGCCAAGCATGTCTGCAGACATTGCCAAATGTCCTGTGGGTGAGCAAAATAGCCCTGTTTGAGAAACGCTGCTAAGCTTTGTCAAATAACCTTGTCTGTCTCAATACATTTTGGATAGGTCACAGAGATTGAAGGGTCCATTTAACTATATAGGGTAGTTATACTGCAAGATAATATAAAAACCACAACTGGAAAAGGAGTTTATGGGAATCGATGTAAGTGCAATTAAGAGAGGAAAACTTCGCTTCAGAAGAGCTGCAGCATTTTCACCAGCGAGTCATGCAATCGGAGCCTAATTTTGATGCAATGGCACTATGCAGATGATATCTGTACCCAAATTGCAACAGTCCTGTCTTAGAAGATTGTTCTTAAATATTGATGAGACATACTGTGGTAGGCAGAATAATGCCCCCCCAACCCCAACACATATGTAGACAAAGATGTCCCCACCCTTATCCCTGGAACCTGAGAATCTGCTATGTTACGTGGCAAAGGGGAAGTAAGGTTGCTAATCAGCTGACCCGAAAAAAGGGAGATTATCCTCGATTATCTGGGTGGGTCCAAAGCAATCACAAGGGTCCTTAATGGTGGAAGAAGGAGGCAGCAGTTAGGTCAGAGTGATGGGATGTGAGAAGATCCACTTGCCTTCAAGGTTTGAAGATGGGGAGACATGGGAAGGGGCCACCAGGCAGGAATGCAAACAGCCTCTAGAAGCTGGAAAAGGAAGGAAATGGATTGTATCCAGAGCTTACAGAAAAGAAGGAGGCCCAGCCAACACCTTGCTCTTCGCCTGGTCAGACTTCTGACCTACGGCACTGTAAGACAATATGTTTATGTTGCTTAAGCTGCTAAATTTGTGGTAATTCGTCAAGTTAGCAAATGGAAAGCTAATACACATACTATTGAGAAAAAATTTACTCAAGATGATGGATATATTTTAATAAGGAAAAAAACCCTGGACGAGACCAATACTTTTATAGAAATTCAATTGTATTAGGAATTTAAAATAGCTTCCTCTTTAA